GCAATTAAAATATGTAAGAACAAGAAAATAACATGAATCGTCTCAAATACTTAAAGAAAATATATTTCACCAATTAAAAATATGTGAATTAGAACAAAGTTCTCAAGGGCTGGATGCAGCTCAGTGCTAGAGTGCCTGTCTAGCTTATACAAAGCCTTAAATTAAATTCTTAGCACAACAGAGAGGGAAAGGATTGTGAGGGGGAGACAGAGAGAGAGACAGAGACAGACAAAGAGAGAGACAGAGAGACAGACAGAAAGAACAAAATACTTAAGTCCTCATAATAGGAAATGGAAAGATAGAATAAGCAATCTTTCTCTCATTTTTTAAATAATTAAGGACAATCAAATAGGACATTAAAAACATGCAATATTTGCTTTACTATCTGGTGTTACAAAAAGGTACACAATAAGAGACTTTTCAACATTGGCATGTGCCTGAAGTTCTAAATAATTTCACTAAAGCAGTGCCTTGGAAATGGCTTGTAGGTTGGAAAGCAGAGTAAAGCTCCATTTGCCTCAAATTTAAGAGTGTGACTGAGAGAAAGGCAGAAGAGTGAGCAGGTAATAACATTTGAAAACTTCATCATGTTGAAGAGAGAAGAAGGTAGAGGGGAAGCACTATATGGGAAAATGTTGGGTTTTTGTACTCAGTGAATGATTATAAAGTAAATGTTTTATTCCTTCATTAAGGAGAAATAATTTTAAAAGTTATGGTGGAAATTCTTACTTTAGAAAAATAGTAGTAATGTAAAGAAAAAATAAAAAGAGAAATATAAAATAAATAGGAAACCATGGATATGGAATGATTACATTTGAAAGAATATAAATAAATCTCAGTGTATGAAATGTATTTATCACTTTTTAAATATTTCAAAATCCTGAAGTTCTCTTTAAATATGAAAGCTAATATAAATACTTTTAAGATTATTATTGACTCAGAAAATAATGTTTCTCAATGTCTACTATGGAGTATTCTCTAATAGTCATTAATATATTAATGTGTACATATATTAATGATTTTATTACACAACCTTGGATTCTGAATTTGCAATTATTCAAAATGATTGGTCTCATATTAGCACTAAAAAGACATAAATGATTCAATGCTAGTGTTTAAAGAAGTTCTCTATTAATATTAATGGTATTGTGCTGTTTAATTGAAAAGTAAACAGTGGTTCAATCTTACTAAAGCATGTGATAAAAACAAAATAAATCTTTATTTGAAGTTTATTAGTTTAGTTGATAAAAATCATGATAGAAAATTATTCTTCATAATAAATAGAGTAAATTTATGTTTGCTATAGAAAAAAATTATTTAAAAATCCAGAAATAAGTCACACTTGTGTTTACTTAGGATAGAACCATGTAGATTTATACATATTTACAAATACCTGGGTGTAAAAAATAAGAGTATAAATCATTCTACGTTGGGCTCAATTTGTAGAACTTTGAAAATCTATTGGAAAACACTTTTTAAACTTATATCCTAAAATATTTTGTAAGAAAATAAGAATTAACAAATTAAATTGTGTTATAAAAGGGATAGAAACTACAAAGCAAATCTCTCGATATGATATTTTAATTCCTAAAGTTTTACTCTGAATTGGAGCTCTCTATTCTGCAGAAATCTTTAGGGTTCCCATGTATCATATTTTTTGGAGTTTCTGTCCTTCTAAGTTGACAACAAAAGGTGATGAAAAATTTCAGAGAATTACAATGTAGGTTTTGTCTATTTGTTAACATTTTCACAGCTTACAGGGGATTTTTACTTATAAGATCTCGTTTGACATTTATAATGATCTTCTGAGGTTTAGAACCTCTTCTTCAAAGAAAGAAACAGGAGTGGAATCTTTGTCCTTTGTCATCCTTACACATACAATGGCAGAAGCAGGACCTGGGACCTAGGTATTTGAAATTCCTACAGATGATGTTAGCCAAACAGTTTAGATTGTCTCAAATACGACAGAGCACATCAAAGTATTTTTGTATCTGCTCATATGAGTTTTATTCATATCATATGTTAACCAACTGTTAATCTTTCCTGTTAACCTTTAACCTTCCCATTTAAAAGTGCATATTTATTTACACCCTTTCTAAGTATTATTTTGGTATGCTGGCATAGTTGTTATGCAGTTCAAAAGAAATGGCATGATACAGACATTTTGTTGATTGAATGGAGGCTTTTATATTTGTTTTCTTGATTCTTTTTTCATCCCCTGCACTCCCTCTGTCCTACCTCCATCTTTTGGTTACTTTCTCATTTGCAGGAGATCTAGTTTCCTGTTTTCTTTTATCTATCCTTTATGCTGATTAAATGAAGTAACAGGTTATAGCAAGTTACTCAAAGGCTAAAATGATGAGTCATAACTGTAAGCAGCAGAGTCTGAACAACGAATGCAAGCTCAGTGTCAGTACTAAGGACAGTACACAGAATATCATCTTTTTAGAAGGATATGTGGTAATTTTTGGTAATGCATTTCCTGAAAGAGAATACTTTTATGGCAATATATTGTCAAACAATTATCATGTGCCAAGATTACTGTCTTATCAAATATTTTGCCTCAAATATATTGGTATGGTTTCAGATATTTTGGTACACAGAAAATACTGGTTCATTTACAGGAGTTACTGTTGGTTATCATCATAAAACAGCATCTGTATTCAAAGTAGGTTTGTCCAAAAGCTATCATTAAATGACTGTGACATAACTTTTATAAGCCTATTGGTTTTAAATATTAGATTTGCATTTCATCACCCAAGGAATCATTTGTGGAAATGTAAATAGATTCACAGTACTTAAGCAGTGTAAAATATTTGTCAAGGAAATGAAATATACGCTATTGCCTCCTGAAAACAAATAATTCTCTATCCTCAACAAATAGGACAGTCATTTTGAACAAATCTGTCCTGCATGAACAAAAATGGAAACAGATTCACAGGTTTCTTCTCCCTAAGAATATGTTCTGAGAATCATAAGGTCTTAGAAATATTTAACTAGCAATTAAATCAAGATACGAAAATTATTAAAGATGGTATGGTTACAAATTCTACTTCACTGAAAATCTATAGAAGTCTCAGGAGTTAAAAGTAAAGAAAAATATCCTTTTATCCTCAGTGACATCATAATCATACTTTTTTAGTTAATTCTTGCCTAACAGGAAATTAAAATTTTGAACTTCAAATATACTAGAAATACAAAGGACCAATATAAAAACAGACAGCTTCTATGAAACAGACAAGCACCGAGGCATTTTAAAGTCAAACTTTACATATGTGGTTTAGAAATAAAAGAATGTAAATACTCTGTGTCCTAATTTACATCTACTTTGAAACCAGAAATGAAACCTCATAAATTTCCTATTAAATGATACATAAATAGCACAGGTTAGAGGACATACTTTCAGTGCACTGTTATGCTCCAAAAGTGAAATTCTCTGAAGCTGATAAAATGAATGAGGTTAATGCCCCAGGTATTAAACTGGAAATATAATCTGTAGATATTTAAAGTGAACTTTCAAAAGCTGCTGATGTTTTCTGTAGGATATGTAAACAACTTTCTAAATTTGACAGTGGTGTTGTGTTCATCTAATTTTCTTCTGAGTTTCAAATAGATCTCTAAAATTGAGAGTGCCATGTAGTTTTCTGGAAGCAAGGTCCAGTCACTCCCTGAGAGTCCCTCTGTCCTGGAGACAGTCAGCATATCCTCCCTTTCTCCTGCTTTGGTGTCAGCAATGCTTTGACTAATAACCAGATAAGTTACAACTAGGTGCTTCTCGGACAGCAGGAGATACAGTTGCATATCTTGCATCTGTCACACTATTGATTTACTATTTTCTCATTCACTGTCCTGATGAAGCATCCTCACAGTTATATATTGTGCTCATAGGGCATAAATGGGAAGCATTTGTATTTTGTGAAGTCTAGTACAGATCACCCCTGTTCAGCTGATGAAGAGCTCTCATTTCTAAAATGCACTTACAATCTGAATGTATTAAACACCACTGGAACACATTATAGACTCCAAATCACCCTGTTCAGTATAATACTATACTACCACTTTAGCATGATCTTATTTTTTTCTCTTGTTTCATTTCTTTTCTGTCATTCCCACCTTTCCCCTCTCTGTTCATTATCTATTGTCTCTGTTCATAATGTCCTTTTCCACACTGAAAGATGAAGAGGGAGGCCACTTCTTTCTTGGGGACAAAGTGCCACTCTTCTCCCCTGTCACACTGATCCTTCTTCGTGCCCTGCATCTTGGCTGTGTTCCCATAATTTAGGAATGTGCCTCTGAGATTCATCATAATGCTATTCTCAGGGCTCTCATCCTCTGTTTTAAGGTGATGCAATTTCATAAAGAAATACTTTCTAGCCTTCAGTTACAAAACCGTCTTTTAAATGGGGTTCAGACCTTTTTTGATTTGAATTGAATTCCATAATAAAGAAAGTTACTTTCATTTTTACCAAGTGTGGAGAGTAAGTCTCACTGGAAAAAAAATCTTCTCATTTGGTTTAAGACAGATGAATAATAGAGAAAAAGATAACTGGATTGTTAAAATTTGACTGCAAGGAGGAGATAATTTCAACTCGAGAGCTGTCAGCACAGAACAGAGGCGGGATGATAAAATAGGGATCAGAGATACTCCAGGCAAGTGAGAATTTTGAATGAACATCTAATAATACTGAACAATCTGTGGACATTTTGAGAACATTAAGAGGTCAGCAGCTAAAAGCGTCTTTTCTTATCCTTTATATTCTATGAGATCTGAGTATGTTACTAATTCACAGTAATTTATATGACTGTGCAAATATTCTTCTTTTATCATTGAAACAATAGGAAAAGGTGAAATAGACCTAATGATAGGAAAGAAATTCACATATGCAAAGAACTACTTTTATATTTATACAAAAAATTATAATAATCATATATAATCACACATGTGAAATAATGTATCATACATACTTTTAAAGATTTTTTTAAAATCTGGTTCTTTCTAGAGCTTAGATCTTAGATATTCTTCAAAGAAACGTGTGATAGAGTTGGTCTCCAGCACACCGGCACTGGGAATGAGGCCTGGAAGATGTGGAAAGTCTTCTGCTCAGTGGAGGCATTCCCTTGAAGGAGATGTGGGGCTCAGCCTCTTCCTCTGCTGTTCTTTTACTGTCCAGCCATGAGGTAATCAGCTTTGGTTTGTCATGTGGTCTTTGCTATGATGTGCGGTCTTACCACAGGAAAAAAAGCAGAGGCTGATCAAAGCCTCCAAAACAGTAACATAAAATAAATCTTCTCCCTATAAGTTGATTATCTCAGGTATAATTTTTAGTGACAGAAAGGTGACAGCTGTAGAAAGTTACTAGGGGGAAGTGTGTGACTTTTGCTATACCCAACTTGATGTGGAGATTTGGAATTGATTGACGGGGGAGTTTAGAAAAGTTTTGAGTGGTGCGTCAGAGAAGGCCAAGTGGAATTTAACAGGCAATTCATGGGTTGCAGAAGAAACCCATCAGAGTGCTGATAGAAATGCAAACAGTAAAAGCTATGCTGATGAGGATACCGGTGAAAATGAAATTGGACTGGAGGTCATTCTTGTTACAATATAGCAAAAAACTGGAAAACTTTGCCCATGCTCTGATATTTAATGGAAGACTGAGTTTAAAGGTGATGGGCTAGATTTTCTCTGTAAGGAAATTTCAAGGCAGCAAAGCACTCATGCTATAGCATGGGTATTACTAGCTGATTTTGCCAGATTTAAAGTGAGAATTGGGAGCAAAAGGGAGAGAAAAAAGGTATTTAAAAAGTATTTACCACCCAGCTAGAAAAGGAACAAGCACTTGTAAGAGTAAAACTTAGGTAAATGACATTGCTAAAGAGATTAAATTAGCACCATTTATATGAAGCCAAGAGCTTTGTACCAAGATAACAGGAAAGAGGTCTAGAAGAAATCTCAAAAATCTACGCACAGATTCAAACATGTTCTAAGACTTTTCATGGTAGAGTATTATGAGGAGAGAACCACAGAGTGGCTTGCTCATCCGAACCAACTAGGCCAGCAGTATACCAAGAGATTACTGCAACCATGGTTCAAATGGAGTCTGGTACAGCTCTCACTGGCACCTGATGGTGGTGCTAGATTTGTAGACACCCAAAATGCAAGAGAGGGGTTTGTGGAGGCCGACATAGAGATTTCCAAAGGCAAACTTAGAGGCCAACAATTGCATTGTCAAAAACTTGGTTAATAATTCCGTCCAGAGTGATGCATAATGAAGCTGTGAGAGTGACTCTGAAGCTGCAGTGGAGATACCAAACGGGTAAGACATGTTGGGAACAGAAGAACGCCTGTTGAGAGAAGCTGCTTACAGCATGCAATCCAACCAAGAGTGGCCATGAGGACTGCAACAAGCAAAACTATAGGGGTGAGGCTGCCAAGCCCCTGGGACCCTCAGTTACAGTATGTTCCGGTTGCCAGATAAGCAACTACAAGGACAAATGTTTGTCCTGGTAGGTTGTGATCTTGCCCTGAGATAATTGCTTTCTACTTCATTATTACTCTCTTTTGCACCAAGAATGAGTACCCTGGGCCTGTGCTATTATTGTATCTTCAAAACTTATGACTTATGCTTTACTTTTTACAGGGTCCCACAGTTTAAGGTTTGCTGTCCGCCCAGAGGAAATCTTGGACTTGCATATTTGCACAACTATGGATTATTTAAGAATTTGGGAATTCTTGCAGATAAACAAAATACTTTTTGTCCTATGAGATGTGCATGAATTTTGGGAGCTAGGGACAGGCTGCTATAGCTGGGTTCTTATGAGTCCCTCATGCTACATGTTGTAAAGACTCGGTCCCTAGGTGGCATTTTGGGGAGGTGATGGGAGCCAGTAAGAGTTCTTCAGGTTACTGGGGCCCTGGCCTGGGAAAGAAAGGTGGGTGTTGCCCCTTTTTTCTCTCTCTTTCATGTTTTTTTTTTTTTTTTTCACTACACTTTCCTTCATGGTGTGCTTCCTTTTCACAAGCATAAAAGCAATGAGGACAACTGATTACATACTGAACCCTTGGAGATTGTAAACCGACATAAAGCTTTCCTTTTCCTTTTGCTTAATAAGCTATGATTTTGTTTCTAACATGAAAACACTTGTGTGCTCCTAAAATAAACTCTAATTTAACATAATGTGAAACTCTTTTCAATGCATTGTTGAGTTATATTTTCTAATTGTTTGAAATGTATGACTAATATTCGGTATTAAAATAAGTCTATTGTTTTTTTCTTTATAACTACTAAACATTTTAAAGTTACTGCTTTGTTGGTTTCATAAAATTTTGTTTACTTCTCTATTTTTGATGTGTTTTGAGATGTTTTAAGTTTGGAAGTATCTGCTGCTCTTCAGAAACTAGATGGAACTCCAGTATAAGTCCATTAGGTTTTGTAACTTTATCCCAAAGTGTATTTCTAATCACTTTTCTGAACTCATCCTGATGTCAATTTTGTGAAGTGTCAGTTTTTCAACTTGCATTTTGCTGCATGATATCATTTTCAGGTAGATTTCAAGTTTGTTTCCATAGAATTATAAGTGGAAAGACCATGAATTGTATCAGTCTTTCACTAACTTGTCTTTAGGACTTCTTTCTCATCCTTAAAATTTCTTTAAAGATATGCTTCTGTCTAGTCACACCAAAAAATAGCTGTTTATTGATATTTCAAACTTGTGACCAAATCCACACTTAGGAAAAGTTGATGAGGATATAAATGTTTTACTTACTTCTGGAATTGTACTCACACATTTTTCAAAAATTTCAGACAACATAAAATAGATCGCTTATGTATATTTGGCTCTGGTTATTAGCATTATTAGGAGCAGGGAATCATCTTTTTACCAGAATTGATTCTAATTCCAAATTTTGAGCCAATGAAAAACAAACAAACAAACAAAAAAACGATGAATGTACATAATTGTGTTGATATGTTCTGGATATTTATATCACTCGTAATCTCCAGTGCCTAAACCTGATCACCAATTAGACTGTGTCAGGAAGTGTGGCTTCATAATGATTAGATCAGGAGTCACCATAATTACCCCAGAGATCTGCCTCATCCTATTACCATGTAGGCACATGGTAAAAAGGGGTCATTTATAAATCAAGGAGAGAGTCCTCTTCAGAAAGTAATTTGCCCATGCATTGATGTTGGGTCTTCCACACTCTAGAACTATGAGAATTTTATGTTGTTTATAATTTACTCATTTATAGTATTTTGATAGAAGTCCAAATGGATTAAAGTGTAATTTTTGTTCTTCATTCTCAAAGTTCTTACTTTTAAAGTAATTTTGAAAGGTGAAACTATGCCCATAAAACACTTTATATCTTTACATATTTTTTTTCAAAATGAGGTCAATAATACTCAATTTCCCCTGAAAGTTATCTTTTTGAATGGATGTGAAGAATATGATGATATTTGATTATCACTGGAATTTTTACCAAAGGATGACATGTACATTTATTACTTGATTGAGTTAGACTGAAGTGATATTTCTAAAGATTACAGAAGGCAAACTTGATCTTGTAAATAGAATTTTGTTATTTGTACACACAGACACACACAAATATTTATGTTGATTAATTTCTTAAAGCAGTCCACATTGATATGGATCCAGTTTGCTTAAAAAGTGTTTTTGTTATCTTCTTTGTTGTTGTAACTGTGCAGATCTTCCTGGGCTAATCTATCTCTTACATAAATGAAAGACTGTGTGGCAACAGCCAGTTTTGTGTAGTTCATACAGGTTTGTTAGCCTCAGCTGTAAACCCTTAGTGGAACCTATAAATTAAGGCCCATCACCAATTTTGAGGGTGAATCAGTGATTAGTGGGCAAAAGGAATTGCAAGATGAATATTTGTCCTCTTTCTCCTCTGTGGAAAACACTCAAATAGTTGTCTTCCAGGCCACTTACAGCTTTTTAAGTAATCTTGTCTGCATTTTTCATTGACAAATCTTGTTGGATAGAATTTTCTTATCTTAATAGAGCATTATTACCTAAATAAGATTTAGTATATATTTCTTGCACTATTTTAATCAAAATCACATGAGAGATGTTTTTGATTCAGGCACTGTGGGACTATAATTCTAAAATATGATTCCCTTAGAAATTATTTTTTGATAAAATAAGAGTTTTTTAAAGGTCTTCACACACTCTTATTTATTACTTTATTTCTCATTTTATAAGCCAGGTCCAGAAACCAAAGAAACAAGGTGTGCTAATTTAGAGATTTGGTATTTCTAAACATTTCTTAGTCAAAATCCAAGGCATTTATTGGTTGTAAGTTAAAGTATTTATTGTAAAAATGATAAGTAAAATGTTACCCAACATCTATAACTGTTTTTTTTTATTCTGTTTAAAATTTTTGATATCATTTAAAGACTCAGATTCTCTTGTTATATTTACCTCCAGGTACACTCAGTTTTCTCAGGTTTCTGAAGGATTCCTAAGCACTAAGTGTCTTAGGCGTGTCTTCCCTTACAACATAATCAAATCACTGAATGCATTGTGCATTACTGCTTAACAGTTTATTCTGAGCTAAGACCATGACTATGCATGAGTGACTAGAGCACCATGACCATGACTAGAGCACCTACCTGGGAATGACAAGCTCTCTATTCTTGAAACACAGGCAAATGCATATTTAATATGGATTACAGATTTTAAAACTGACAAGAAACCCAAAATTATTTTATTAATTTTATCCTTTGTAAATAGCATGGAGCCAAGAATTTGTATTGAATTTGTATAACTCTTTATCTCACCCTCTGCAGACTGTTGTTGTGTATTCACAAAGAGACATGTTATAGGCACTATTAGAGTTTCAGAGATTTGTTCAATCATGCCCTCAAGGAGCTCATAGTCTCAAGGAATTTACAGCCTATAAAATTGTCTTTATCAATTGCCTGGAAAGCCTAGGTACTTTGATTTCTAAACCCCCCATTTAATTTGGGCATCACAGGCATTAACAAGAAGAAAATAAGCAAGATACCTGTGTTTTAGAATACTTGGAAATTTTGAGATTTAACTAGTAAAAAGTTTAGTTTTAGTTTAAAGTTTTCAGATGTATGTTACTCAAAAATTTTAGAATATTCTCATTTCTTGCAGATTTCTGTATTACTTGTTTTTGAGAATGAGATTTATTA